TTTGTTATATTAGGATGATGGCCAGCTCATAATATACCTAATTTAGTTGGCAATTATCTCACTTTTTATTTATTATTTTGACCAGCATTTGAATAAAAAGTTTCTTTTTTTTTTAAAAAAAAAAAATAAAAAAAAAATAAAAAAAAATTTCTACTTTGTTTCATCTCTATTGTCTATTTCATATTTATAATACAATGAATGAATATAAGAAAAAAAAGCTTTAATTATATAATAATGTTCTTAAACCCTTTTTCCACAAAGTTTCAAATTGATCCAGATTCGCTTATTACACCGGATTCTATGCTATCACGAATTCTAATCCCGGCAGTGCTATCTGATTTACGAAATCCAGTTATATTGTATTTTTTTCTCAGCTCCAAAAATCTATTAATATCATTTAACGCTAAATCTAGTTTACCCAACTTTTGATAAACGCATGCTCGCTTCTTCAAAGCAAGTAAATGTTCAGATTGTAACGCTAATGCTTGGTTCAGATCCGATAATGCCTCATCATAACGTTCCAACGCTAATAATGTTGCTCCACGCCTTGTATATATACTTGCAAAATTTCGTTCTCCTTGCATTTTAAAAATCAAAGTGAACCCTTCATCGCATCCTGAATGGTTTCGTTTAGCCCTTTTGTTATGGTCATCCGAATCAAGGTAAGTAGCATTTAATGGTAACAACTCTAAAGATTTATTAAAATCATTTAAAGCTTCGTTATGCTTTCCAAGTTTACGATAGATATTGCCACGTATCTCATAAGCATAAGGATTTGATGCTCGAATTGTCAACGCCTGATTGATGTCGTCTAAAGCCAAATCATAGTTTTTCAGTTTAGAATGTACTTCGGACCGACAACAAAGTGGTGAGCATGCTTTCGGAGAAAGTTTAATAGCGCTATCTAAATCCTTGAGAGCTTCTTTAAAGGAATTCTGATGATAATAGATTTCTGAGCGAAGTATCAAGGTATTTTTATTCTTGGGGTGTAAAATCAAGGCTTTGTTTGCCGTAGACAAGGCTTTCGGGTAATCTCCCATTCTTCGACAAATATCTATCATTTGCTGAAGAGAAATCATATGTTGAGGATCAATTTCTAAGGCCTTTTTAATATCGATGTAAGCTTCATTATACCTTCTTAGCTTAAATAATAATTCGCCACGATTAGAATAAGGAGTGGCACTCTGGGGATGATGTCGTACGGCAAAATCGAGATTTGTTATGGCATCGCTCCATCTTCTTAATTCCATATATAAAGCTCCGCGCATTCCATATTGATAAACATTGCCCGGATCAATGAGACATGCTCGTTCCAAATCCTCTATAGAATTATCCAGTTTTCTTAACATGCGATAAGCGCTACTTCGATTACGATGCACAGTTGCATTATCGGGTTGTAATTTCAATGCCTAATCGAAAAAAAAAATTATTAATATAAAAATTAAATTAAATTTATTGAGATCGTAATATATTAAAAGTTTTCGCAATTTAAAATTTACCTTTGTAAAATCCTCGACAGCCTCTTCATAACGTCTAGCATTCATATTAAAAATACCACGATTTCCAATTACGTTAGCTTTTTCGGCTTTGGTTAGATCAAATTTCAGAGCCTTTTTTATGTCGGCCATCCCTCTATTAAATTTTTTAAGTTCACGATAAATATCAGCTCGATTGATGTAAACAGAAGCATCTCCATTTGTAAGCATAACCATCGGTCTCATCCATTAATATGGCTTTGTTAAGATCATCTAATGCTTCATGGAATTTCGAAGAAAACATTGCATGACACCTCGAAAACAAATTGCTTCTTGCTTTTTTGGTTTAGGGAAATTACATGATCGAGATCAAGTTTTGCTTTTTTATATTCCAACAGAGCACGATAAGCATCAGCGCGAATATACCTAATGGCATAACTATTTGGATGGATTGCTAGCATATCGGTTGAATATTCCGCGATTTTCTTATAATCATTGAACAATTTAGCTTTGATTAATTTAAATTTTAATAGATGGAAAGATTTTTGAGCAGATTTGATAGTGGGAGTGGAATTATCAAGAGGTTGATCGGTTAATTTGTGAGGTATCGCAACCCGATCCAAGAGACCACAAGACCAAGGATGAGATTTTGGCATTTCTGATGTTAAAGAAGAAGTATTATCCTATAATAAAATAAAGCAAAAAAAAAATAAAAACCGTTAACGAATATTCCAAGTAGGGATGTTATCTGATTAGTTTGGTTAGTTTAGGTTTAAAAACCTTTGGTTTGACTTAACTATAGTTTATTATATGCAGTTTAATGTCGTGATATAATTTTGTGCATGTAGTTTTTATATAATGTAAATCTATTTTTATTATTTATTAATTAAGCGATACAAAATTAATCTTATAGTTTTTATAAACCGCTATACCAGTTTTCGTTAATTTCATTAAACAAAAAAATATTATATATTTTTAAAATCCATATATTTATAAACTATCATTTTCGCCAATTTTTTCAACTATCCAACTTTTTAAACATAATAATGATTGTGCAGTATCAGAATCTAATCGGTCACGCAATTTAGAAATAGTAAGCCATGCAATAGAAAATATTTGTTCACATGGTACGCTAGTTGCTTGTATAGCAAGATAATCGCGTGCCATATTTGATAAAATTGGAAATTGTTTTTGATGAACTTTCCACCATTCTAATGGATCATAATCATCATCTGTAGGCAAAGTAAGATATCTCTCTAATTCATTATTTGTAAAAGGTTGTGCAATAGATCTAAACTGATTAGCAATAGTTTTTAAATGTGCACGAGCATCAATTCGATTAAATGTTATATTTTCAGAGAATAATCCAGCTGAATTTGTTGATGTTGTTGTAGTTATATAATAACTCATTTTATCAAGTACTAAAGAAATTGCATTATTGGTTTCGTTACCAAGTTCAAAAATTGAACATTTGACACGTGGATCTAATACTGTTGCAATTCTTGTAGTAATATTAATAGTTGAATAATATTCATCAAATTTATGATGAATTGAATCAGCAATAATATAATGTGTTGTACTATTTGCGATTTCATATTCCAAGTGCTGTTTTAAAGTCCAAAAAATAAAGAAAAGATCCCCAATAGTTGAAAATGAAGATGAAGAAAGAGCTATTGTAGCAGAATATATAGGAGATAAAATCGATAGTAATTCCTATATAAAAAAAAAATATAAATATTATTAATTATTTAAAAAAAAATTTAAAGACATAAATAGAAAATAAATATATTTATTTACATTCAATTTTGTCCAATCTTCAACTGTCATATGCATATCATTTAAATCACTTGGATGTTGCGCAATAAGCATATTAGCCTGTACTTTAATTTTTTGAAATTTTTCTAACATTAAATATGTTGAATTCCAACGCACTTCATTACCAATTTGTAGACCTAAGTATGAAATATTTTGTGCTTCAAATATTCGTCGCAAGTCTTCTGTTAATAAATTAGATCTGCGAACCTTATTCATAAAATTACGGACCTTTTCAATCACCTCATCATATACTTGAAGACCATGTTGTACAGAAAGATTATGTATGTGTGTTCCACATCGGTAATGAGCAAATAGAGAATTATTGAATTTTGTACTTAATTCATTGCTTATATTACGACCACATACAATCATAACAGAATGATTATCAGTAGTCAATACCAAAATTTTTGTAGTAAGATTATATTTAACTAATAAGTTCATTAAAGTTTCAGCTATATTATTACCAGAATGTGAATCATAGAATGGAATAATATCTAATAAAAAATTTACGCATTTGCCAGTTATTATCTATCCAGTGAATTGTAATACCTAAAAAGCTATAATTATTTCCAGAAGTCCACATATCAGTTGTTAACGCTATCTTACTTGAAATATTTTGTAAATCATAGATTATTTTTTCTTGCCGAATTTGAAATTCCTTTACTATATTAGATTTAATGCGTGGATCAAGTTTTTTTATCATATCAATGAATGAATTTTCCTCAACAACAGAAAATGGTTGCATACTTAAAATTATCCAATTAATTAAAAAATTATCACGTTCAGATTGCTCTTTTTGATTATATGGAATAATTTTTGTTTGTATTTTCGATTCATAAATTTCTTGGTGAATTTTTTCCATATGTGTTTTTAAAGTCCCGGTAGATGTTGTATTACTATACTTGATATTACAATATTTGCAGATCTGTGATTCTTTTGTCCGAGTAAAAAATTGGTTCATTACCGATATTGGTCTTTTTCTAGTATTACGAATAGGTCCTATACTACTTTGTGGTAAAAAATAATCTAATAAAGTATCAGAATCAGAACTTGGAGGATTATCTATATGAGACATAATTTACCAGTAATTAAAATAAAAAAAAAGAACGTTGATGTCGATCATAAGTTATTATATAAAAAAAAGAGCCATTGTAAAATCGATAATTGTATGTATATTTATTGTTAATTATGCAATCATTATGCAGTTTAAGTCATGATTTAATAATAACCGAATCAAACCATTTTGTATCAGTTTAAGTTTAAACTATAGCTAAGCGGTTTATCCCAAGCTAATTAACAACCCTAATTCCAAGTCGATAGTAAAAAATCATATAAACAAATTCTCTTTCTAATTGTGCTTTGGCTAATATTTTTCTTGTTTTCTAAAAGTGAGTTTTTTTTTTATAAAAAAAAAAAAAGGAATGTTACAAGAAGTTTCAGGTCATTTGACCAGATTTCACGTTTTAGAATGTTTGTTATGTTACAAACAAAAAAGAAAGTCATTCTTACTATGGACCAATTAGGCTAGGTAAGAATGGAATTTCATTTTTTATAACTATGTTAGATTACTATAAATTTTGTTATGAGAGACATGAATTTTAATTAAATACATAAGCAATGGTTTCAGTAAATTTGATTGGTTTGGTTCCGCAAAAAAAAACAAGTTTAATACCTGTTAAATTTCGATGTAAAACTTTTTTAATTTTTTCAAAGATGTCATAATTCGTTCAATCAATGGTGTGGCAAGGTTGTGATATTTCCAAATTGTTTAAATCCTCTTGAAAATGCAATCGTTCAAAAATGATCATGTGATTTATATATTGACATTGGTTCATTTTATGAACGGACATTTGCTGTTGCGAATTTCCATGTAAGATTTCTCTCACACAAAATTATTAATAACCATTTTAAGAAAATATAAATTAATCTTTTCCATTTCTAGACACGGGTAAGTAGACACCAGTCTTAATTGCAGTATATTGAACCTGTTTTGGAGCATGATTACCTTTATCATCATCAAAATCTATTTTTTGAAGTTCACTTTGATTTGTAATTTGATTTAAATTGCTTTTCAATTCTAATGCAACAAATGAATTATCAACAATCTTCCTCTCGAAAATCTTGCCTCGATCTTACGAGTGTTGGATAAAGCAAATTACATTGAATTTGAAACTAATAGTGTTCATTAACCCATTCAACTCCATCCTATTCTGTTATTCGATTAGCTCGTTTAAAAGAAATGTTATGATTCTTTGATGCACGTTTAAACCACCATATTGGACTATTGATATACTGAAGTAGTTGGCGATTTTTCAACCGTTAAGATCTACAAATGAATTTCCATTTAATTTTTTTAAATCTATTCATTTTATATTTTATTTTATTTTTTTTTTTCCTTCGAAATTAAATAGTTTTCGTAAATTTTGTAAATATAATAGATTAGTAAAGAGCAAATGGTTCGTCTTCCACGTTGAAAGTACAAGAACAACGAGCCTACTCAAGGTAGCAGTGGAATTTTGACATATGTGTATAGGTGGAAAATAACAAATGAGATACGACCGTTTATGGAACAACTAGTCCGCCTTTTAGTGCTGACGGCTTACAATGGTTTGTATTTATTCGTTATCAAAATTTTCATATTTTAAATTGAAATGATAACCTTGATTAATTGATTAAATGATAAAATGACTATCAAGGGTTTTTAAGGTATTTTAATAATATACATTTAAAATTTTAAAAAATATATAACAAATATATATTTGATGAAATTAATTAACATTATAATAGTTCTATAAGGGGCGACAGAAGAACCCACAGGTATATTGGAGTATTAATTTTCTTTTCCCTCTAATTTGAATTGATATTGATTGATAATTTATTTGTACTAAATTATGTGTGAAGGCTTTGTCATTATATTTAGGGATTTTAGAGACAACACCAGGATGTCTTCTTGGAATTAGAAAAAAAGTTAGCATAATCTTTGTCCTGGAAAATTTGAGAGCGAGAGGAATGGACTTTGGCAAAAGTATATTTAAAATAAAATTGAATAACATTTATTTTTCATTGATCAGAATCCATTCTAACCTTCTGTTTTTTTTTTGCACGAAAAGTGGAGTTGCCTGTTTGGTTTTGCGATAGTACGTACATGTTTTAATACGTTGATTTGTAAATTTGAAATTTCACACATGATTATTAAAGACTCTTTTGTTTATCATGGAATGATCAGAACATTCCACATGGCAGTGATGGCAAATGACCAGGTCATTTGAAGTCATTTAGGTCATTTAAAATAATTTTTTAATTCAATTTTAGGATTAAATATATATATAATATTTTAGTAATCTATGATGAGTTAGAGAAGTGATCCGTGAATAGTAATCCATGCAAATAATGCATATATTCGGATAATTCAGATAT